CCCAAGCCGCCCGCCGCGGCCGCCGCGGCCGAGGCTCCTGGCGCCGGCGCCGGCATGGAGCGCTCGCAGAGCCGCCTCAGCCTGTCCGCCTCCTTCGAGGCGCTCGCCATCTACTTCCCGTGCATGAACTCCTTCGACGACGAGGACGCGGGTGAGCGCGCGGCCCGCCCCCGACCCCCGGGGGTGTCCCGGGAGCCAGATCCGGAGGCCCCCTCCTCGATCCGTGCGCCCTTAGAGGTGGCCACTCTCTCCTCCCCACCCCCAGCCCCGCTCGGGGATGCGCCCCCCAGAGTCTCCTTCCCCACCCACGGGACCCCAGGGTCTCTAGGATGCGGTGTCTTCTAGCCTCCCTCCGCTCCCAGGGACGGCTAGATCGTCTGCATTCACCCCTTTTCCGCAGGTGGGCCTTTGGGTCGCCTGGACCCAGCTCTCCCTACTCACGTGTGCCTACTGCATGCCCCCTGCCTTGTCCCTGAATCGGACCTGCCACCCTCCCTGAGCCTCCTGTGTGTGCCCACTCCTCAAACCCCGGGGCTTTGGCCGCCTCACCCCTGGGGCCCCGACGCGCCCCCGGCCATTGGAGGTGGCGCGCAGACCTTACTTCTCCATCTTTGTCTTGGCTGCATCCAGAGGCTGCCTGGCCGAGACCCCCGCCTTGCGCCCAAGGCTTGGAGCGCCCCCATTCGTCTCTCCTCCCCTTCCCCCAGAGGCGGGGGCTCCGGACTCCCGGTTCTTTTCAGACTGGAGCGGACCGCGGCGGGACTGGCTGGGTGACGGCCTTTCCTCCCCGCTGGTCCCGGAGGGAGGCGTGGGGCGGCGCCAACTCTACAGCTGCGCGCCCTCCGGAGTGTGCCCCAGACCCTGGTGCTCTTGACCCTGGAGTAGCCCCTCTGGGTGGGCTGAACCCGGCCACCATGCAGCGGCCCGAACCTCAGGCTCCCAGGCCTGCGCGCAACCTCAGCCAGAGCCCGAGGGGCGGGGACATGTAGAGAAACCTGCTCTGTGGGGCCCTGGGACCAGGCAGAGGGAACGTGAGGGCTCCGGATCTGGTTCTGCGGTGAAGAAGCGAATCCACCAACAGGTGGGGTAGCTGGAGGGCTTGGGGGAGAGTTCCCCAAAGAGTGACAGATTGGGAGTCAGAATCAGGTCCGGTCTTGCTTCTCTACTGGTTAGCTGTGACCTTGGGCCGCCCCTAGCCTGGATATCCTCATCTGCAAAATGGGATGGCAGCGTTTCAGACACAAGGGTGGAGTTAAAAGTGTTTTGTAAGCTGAAAATCTGAGAGTAGTTGAATCCAAGGAGGGGACAAAAGGGAGAGGGGTGTATATGATGGGATGGAGCAAATGGTTTCGCGAACACTTTTGAGAACCTAATGAAATATGGACTGTCTCTCCAAAAAGATACACATATGCACCATCCACAAAATTTTGTCCACAGTTTTAGGGAGTTCATGGGCCCCGCTTAAGACTCCATGCCTGTAGAGCCCCTTTTCTGGTCACCCAGTTATCTAATAAGCCATGGGATGGAGCAGTGGGTGATGGGTGCTCACGTCTTCCTATTGGAGCAGCAGGCAGGTGGGGAAAAGGAGAGAACATTCTTCAGAAGAATTTGTTGGCTAAGTGAATGAATGGGGGTATGTGACGCAGACCCCTGACAGCCTTGTCTTGCTGTTGACCTGGAGATAGGGGTGGAATAAAGGTGGTTACTGCAGAGCCATTTTACAGAGTCACCATTTTACAGAAGAAATAACTGAGGCTCAGAGGCTTAACTTCCCCTTTGATGTGGCTGAAGGAGGTCGTATTATTATTTGGATAAGGCAAGGTGAGGAGGAATGGAGGGGCCCTCTAATACAGTGGCCTCCAGTGGAGCAAAATCAGAGAGAGGAAGTCAGACTAGCATGGGGGCTGGGGGAGGGAGCCCCTCCAGCCCAGGTGAGCTGGCTTCCCCCACCCTCACCTGATGGCCGGGGACTCTCCTGCAGTGCAACAGGCCACTTGGGTCTCAAGAGCCAGGCTGGGCACGAGCATGGGTTTGTAGGAGCATCAGTGGCAGGGACGGTGAGGTTTTTCTCCAAAGTCATGCTCCTTGTCATGGGTCAGATGCCTCCATTCTTATTCCTGGTTATAGGCGACTTGCTCTGGTTTCGCTTAAGTCAGAATGGATAACTTCCTGTAATATTAGAGATTTTTTAAAGGTTCACCTGATGTTTTTTCCAGCGGGTTTCTTCAAATTCTTAAGTTTTTCACTTGAAAGAGACCTAGAAATCATCTTGTCCAACCCCTTTTTACCCCTAAATGGATGAATGTGTGTGTGTGTGTTTGTGTGAATGTGTGTGTATGTGAGTCTGAAGCCCTGGTGTGTGTGTATGTGTAACTCAAGGTCACCCAGTGAGGCAGGCACAGAGCCGAGACTAAAATCAGGTTTCCGGTTCTCTTTCCAGTAAACCACTAGCCCTCTCTCTGAAAGAGGACTTTTCAAAAAGCCAGATCTCACTGTGTAGAAAATGGTTCCCAGGTGAGGAGGCCCCAGGGAGCAGCTGACAGCCAAGAGTTTGGTTTGGGCATCTCGTGCTCTCTGTCTGCTCATCTTAAGGGATGCTTCAGGTTTGGGAGGGGGAGGGAGAAAATCAAGTTTCATTTCCGGAAGACTAATGAGTGTCTGGTGAAAATCGGAAGTAGGGAAGATTGTCTTGGTGCTTAATTTTTCTTGTTCTTCTGAAAGTCATTAATTTTCTCCTAAAAAAAGCCTTTTGGATTTATTCTTTTAGAACAGCACCACGCTGAACTAATTTCTAAAAGCAGTTTGAGTAATCTCTGAGATACTGGACAGAGACGCCTTTGGTAGGAGGGCCATCAGAACTGGCTTTGCTCCTCCTTCCTCTTCTGTGCTCCCTCCCCGGCCCGTTTAATGCCCAGCTGTCCCTGATGGCTCAGAAGTGTGTCCCTGAGGGGCCTCTGTCTTGTCTGGGTGCCTCCCCTTTATTGCTGCTTCCGACTCCTCTCGAATGCATGAATGCATCTTTTTCCTCAACCAGATCGAGCCAGAGCCATTTTCAGGGCTTACGTGCCATCCTTCAGCTGGTTTCCTGAGAAACCATGTGAGGAGGAGACTTTCATTAGCGTAAACGGGCCAGAGCACTTGCCTGCCTTGGGCTTGAGAGCTTTGGATATTTTGTGGGCAAAGGAAGCTGCACCTTCCTCCCACCCTTCTAGCCACCCTGGGGCTCAGGGTGCTGCTCGTTGCAGATTCCTAGAATTCCTCTCAAGGAGCATCTTCCCTCATGCACTCTGAACTTGTTTCTTAGGCTGCTTTGCCCCTTTTCACAGAGATGCTGGGGGTTTAGAGAGGCATGCACTGGGGGGTATATTTGTGTCTGTGTCTTCATCACTCAGCCTTGCTGGCACTGGGTTTGTAATTGGGGAGTGGTCGGGTGTGGAGGAGTTAGGTGACCTCAGCTTTCTCATCTGTATGAGGAAGAAAATAGCATGGACCGCATAGGGTCAACATTTTAAAAATGATTACCTTTTGCTAGGCATCCCCTTAGGCACTTTAAATATATTATTTTAATTCTTTCCTCATAGCAACCCTATAAAATTAACATTTAACATCCGCATTTTCAGATGAGAAAACTGAGGCACAGAGAGAGTATTTGTTCAAGGTCACTCAGCCAGGAAGTGAGGGAGTTAGGATTTGAACTTGAACAATCTGATTCAAGCATCTGTGCTTTTGATGATTACGCTGTCTATGCTATGCAAAGGGCTTAGGACAGTACCTGGCACAGGTAGGCTCTCAATACCTCTTAGCTATTATCTATCTATCCTATTACCAAGTAAGTCTTATTTCTGGGCATGACTGTAAAAAAGAATCTGTGGGTTTGGGGAGGGGAGGAAAGCCTGATTCTCAAAATGCAGCTTTTAAAATTTTTATAAGCTAATTTTATTGCATTGTTATAGCTATTAAGGCAGAGTTGGGCCCTCCTTCTTGGAAATGGTTTGAAGATGGGGATTTGGGGGACTTGCATGGAGAACAAGAGGATGTGGAGCTGTCCAGCTCCCCGTTTCCCTGTTCTTTAACATTTAATTTGCGTCACATCTACAGTCCCAGCCCTGCCACTTTGCCTCTGGGGAGCAGGGCTGTCTCCAGTTTCCAGCAAATGCCAAAGGGGATTGTTACATCAGGGTCTGGAATTGAGGATGGTGTCCCTGAGTCTGACCCAGTGGTTTCAGCGTCCACTTCTCCCCAACCCGGGAGAAGGGCGGAGAAGCTGGAGCAGCCAGCTCTGATTTGTCCATAGGATGCTTCGATCCAGCGCAGGGAGGAGGTTGCCATGGCAACACCGGCCAGCTACCGGTCCCTCTCCTAGCAGTTCGGGCCACATCTCTGGGCTGGAAAGCCCTTCATGGCATCGCCCTCTTCCACTCAGGCCGAATCTGGTGGATGGGGTGGCATGGTGGATGGGTCCCACAAACTAGTACCAAAGCCCACTCCCCTTGTTTTTGGACAGAGGAGAAAAGGAGGGGGTTGTCTGAGTTACTTCTAGGTGGAGATATCCGTATCCTGCCAGACAGATCCTAGAAGGGGGAATCAGAGCACCAATTCCCACTCCCACCCTAGGAACCTGGAATCACCGAACTAGAATTCTCTCCCCTTGCCCCCAATTTACTCCGTTTGGCAGAGTTTTCTTTCCCAGACCAAGTGCTAACTTTTGTCCTTGAAATTTGACCTGAGCTTTTTCTGGGAAACAAAATGTCCTGCTGCCCCACCCCTTCTCCCTGAGATGGTGGGAACGGAGTGCTTCAGGGGAGCTGGGTTGGGTGGATAAGGAGGAATGGTGAGGGGGAGGCCTTAAAGTATTCTTCAGGATCAGGGCCACTTAAGGGCATGAGGTTGCGGTTTTGAAGCCTCCATTCCCATCCTCATCCCTAGGGCAGACCACTTCCTGTCCCCTCCCCCAGTTTACCACCCAGCGCTGTAATCTCCTTTATGTGTTGGGCATTGAGCAGCACTCTTCTAGATCTGGATAACTGAGGCATGGTAAAGAATTGAACCAATTATTTCCACAATTCAAGTTGTGCGGTGGGGTGAGAGTGTGGACCCTCACTGCTTTCTCTTAATCCAATCATCCTGAGAGAAGTATCTCAGAAAAATTGG